TTTTCATTAGCAGTATACTGTTAATGTGCAATTCAAAAATCAAGTAAATTGATTTAAAAGATAATGTGATAGAAACATCTTAATCAGTAAATGAGAAAGCTGAAATGGACCTGACCAAAAAAAAATAGTGTATATACAGACACTCATCTGTACCTTAATCATTTTCACAATATTTTACATCCTTCTATTGGTTTACCCCAAACAAATTTAGAGGCATACTTTTTCCACAAACAATACTCACAGCTCTATGTGTAATCTATCCACTAGAGTTCTAAAACTCATCAAAATGTGTTTGACTTGTTTTCACATACAAATGAAAAAGAAAATTACAGGCAGAACATCAGCTTAATTTTGCATAACAAGAAACCTTTAGTTCAGAGTTTTCTGAAGGCAGAAGTAGCTTTTCTTGATTAATCAAATGTATATTTGATATTATTGACCTGTGGCTTTTCCCTCCCCCAGCATGTATGCTTTATACAATTCACAATACTTTTGATGATATTGAAAACAAAACAATTGCAGATTTAGGATGTGGTTGTGGCATGCTCAGCATTGGAAGTGCAATGTTAGGAGCAGGGTAAGTATTTAATATTAAGTTCTGGTTTTGTTTTTTTCTGGCACAGAAGAGTAGAAGAATAAGGTTAGGATATAGCAGTGCTGAACTAAACTAGTTTTAGGTATCTAATCTGGTGCATGAGGAGGTTATTTAGCACGTTTAGACAGTCAATAACCATTCAAATAGTGGAAGAGGTAGACAGTTGCTATGAATTTAGAAGTCATAACGTTTGCTTGCCCCTGAAGCTCTAAATGAACACATGAAACTTCCTTCACAAACTTTAAATAGGTATTTGAGAAAGGGCAACAGAGCTACTCACATTTTTATCAGCGCTGAATTTCTAGTGTATGCTTGTTACATTTCTGTCTACATTTAGCCTGTACCTGGGGCTAAACTGTAACAGTCACTCTATCACCTGACAACCCCTCACCAGCCAGGGAGGAGAATCCAGGAAAAAGGAGAGGAGACCTGTGGGTAGAAGCAAGAACAGATTTTAATGAGACACCACCAATACCTACAGAGATATACAGAGTTATACTCAGCCAAATAAGCATGCAGTCATCACAATCGACCAGAGAACAGTCCTCAGAAGAAGCCAGAGTAAGAGAAACCTCAAGAGGAGCCCCACAGGAGCTCTGTTTCCTCAGCCAACCTTCCCCTTTATAATGACCATGACATTATGGGATGGGCTACATCCGTATCTAACTCAGGGCAGCTGCCCTGGCTGACTTGAAACTGCTAACAGCCTGCCTAGCATGGCTGGGCTGGGATTCTGTCCCAGCCAAACCAGGACAATTTCCTAGATAAAACAAGTTGTGTACACAGATCCCTTTCAAGATTTTACTATAGAATTTAAACACCATTTTAGTTTGCAGGAGACTAATACATGGCACTTTTTTCTTTTTTAATAGATTGTGTGTGGGGTTTGACATAGATGCAGATGCACTGGAAATATTTAACAGCAATATTGAAGACTTTGATCTCACGAATGTCAACATGGTTCAGTGTGATGTCTGTTCTTTATCTGACAGCATGTCAAAGACTTTTGACACAGTTATTATGAACCCTCCTTTTGGTACCAAGCATAATAAAGGTTGGTAATGCTGAAAGTCAGTTAGAAATTATTAGGAATGAAATAGCAAGGGAAACACTTTTAATGAAACATCTCCTTTTTTATTGTATTTACCTGGAGTTTTGTTGATCTGGAATCAGTTTCCTAAGTACAGATAAACAACTTCAGCATTGTAACAAACAATTGCTGGGTTTGAAATACACAATACTAGCTATTTTATATCATTTTTCTCATTTACTAAAAGCAATTAGGTAAGTTTTAGAAATACTTTCTGTACCTTAATGTATTCAGTGCTGTTTCTCAAATAGCTATTACTCCAGAAGAACTGAAGCATGAAGCAGATCTTTAAATCCTCGTAGTTTAAGCTTGCATTTAACAATTCAATAATTTCATCATTCTTTTAGGAATAGATATGATTTTTCTGAAAACTGCTTTACAAATGGCAGAAACAGCTGTATATTCCCTTCACAAAACTTCAACACGGCAGGTAAGCCCTTCATTTTAGTAGGGTGAGCATTAACCAGGCATTTAATGATGTTGTCTATAGCTTTACTGATTTGTTGACACCTTTGTGGGATACAAAACTTGTTTTGGGTAAATACTAATGTCAAATAACTGATCTCACGTACCTCAAGTATGTGATCTAATGTTTCAACTTGAAAGACAAAAGCACAGGAGACTTCTTGACTAAGTACAGGGGTGTAGATGTTTTTAACAGTGTAGAAATGATCTTTTACATTTACCTGTATCTATTTAATATTGTAGCACATTCAAAAGAAAGCAGATGAATGGGAAGTGAAGATGGAAGTCATAGCAGGTAAGATTAATTTGTTGTTAAACAAACAAACAAAAAAACCCCATTTTGTTGGGGGCAAATATCTTTAACACTACCAGCCAGTCTTAACAGCCTGAGGTAAATTTAAGTGTGATTTAACACTGCAAATGACACAGGCCTTTTTTTAAGCAGGTGGTTTTTTTTCTTTTTAATACCTTGCTACCTGGCTAGAATACAAGCAGGCACTTAATAAAGCTCTGAGGAATACATATTCTGTGCAGAATTAGAATTGGATTTCTTCCTGGGCTAGATTTTGCCTTCAAGCAGAAGCTAGTTACCTTCCTGCTTCAAAAGAACACCGTTGCTGACTAACAAAAGCAAAGCGCAGGTCAGTTCTCACACAAAAAAGCCTCCTGTCCTTATAGTCACCTAAATATTTTTTGACAGTTGTTCAAGTATCTTCCCAATTCTTAAGTATCACCAGCTGGATACTTTATAGTCATACAACTTGAGACATGGAACTTGCACAAGTGCTTGAAATACAACTGCATTTCAGCCATCCACTTACTGTCTGATGTGGTCAGCTTAAATGTTCAGTCATAATCTAGTCCAGAGGTAAAAACAGTTATCTAGTCAGGGGGCAACAAAACATGGGTGTAGGGTGTAAGTCAATTGACTCATTCTAGTGTAACAAGTGTTCTTTGTACTGTTCACAGAACTTAGATATGACCTACCAGCGTCATACAAGTTCCATAAGAAGAAATCAGTAAGTGTAAAACCTAACATAACTGAGAAAATGCTGTCTTGTACTAGGCAGGTAAATAAATTCTACTTAAGAAAATTTAAGTTTTAGGGCCATGTGTACTGGATGAGGAACGCTCGCAGCACTTGAGAGAATTTCACTATGATGGCATCAAATTCCATCACCGTTACTCCATTTTGTAGTTGAACAGGGAAAAGAATCATTGTAATGCAAGTCAAAGCTATACACAAAGATCAAAGCCAGTGCTGCAACTAGATGTGAGAAAGCTAAGGGTAGCCTCCTTGACTCAAACTTCAAATAGTTACTTGTTTGATCCTATCTGCAACTGGAACTTAGACTGAAGTAAGTAATGAAGGCCAGAGCAAGTAGGATTTGACAGCTGTATTCAGTGTTCTGTGCTCTGTACTGCAAATAGCTACAGCCAGTGAAATCCCTCCCAGAACCATCTTAGAGGGGGCAGGAGGAAGCTGTGCACTTCATCCCACAACAGATCTATTCAGGATGCCGGAGTGTGGAAGCTTAAGCCCAGGCAAGTTCCTGGGTGCTGAATGCTGGCCTAGAAGACATGTGTCCCATTACCACAGGGAAAGTAGACAGAATCCTGGCGTAGACTGAGCAAGATCTGAAGATGTTAGGTATGTTTTGCTACATGGCAAAGTCTAGACATTTTATTCAGCTGCACCATTCCTTTGGTGACTTGAACAACAGAAGTCTGTCCTTCAGCTTTGCTAATTCACAGTTACAGCTTTACACTACATTAACATCCAGGCTTCAGTAGTAAGCAGTTTTAAGTTCTGAATTTATTGGCAGATGCTATTTAACATAACCGCAAGACTATAAAGTCCAGAACCTTTTACATTTGAATGAGGTGCCAGAGAAGTTGAAAGGATGTGACAGTATAAACAAAACTATAAATATAAAAGTTTTGCAGGGTGTTACGTTAAGAGTATGCATGCTTCTTAAACAAAAAAAATAAAGCTGTAACCCAACAAAATGAAGCTTTCCTCTCATTGTAGGTTGACATTGAAGTGGATTTCATTAGATTTTCTGCCAAGCAACTCCTGAACTGAGGCATGTCTTTAAAATCTATTGAAAATGGAACAATAAAAACAATGATATTTTTTTAAATTTTTATTTTAGTATTACTGCTCTCCATCTCCATTTTCTGTTTTCAGTTGTTTTGGTGCAGGTTCTTCCTTTTCCATTTCCTCTAGTGGTCTCTTCTTGGGACTCGCTGGTTCTGCAAGATGGAATATGTAGTCATTTGTGGTGAAGGAGAAAGCATTTCAGTATTATTTGAAGTCTTCTGAAAAAACAAACCCTCTCTACCATGTAAGTTCGAGGATGAGTCCTAGTTTATCCAAAACCACTGCTATGCTAGAGGGTTTACTCATTACTGTGACTTAAAGTTTTTAGATGTTCTACAATACCAGTTTTGAAGAGCTTCCCCCTGTATAACCTTACAGCAGGAGGGCAGGTAAGAAGATGAAGGAATACAACCTAACAGGAGTAGGTTTCACTGTGTTTTGCCTAAGCAGGTGCCATATCTAATGAATGGAAGCTTAGCTCTTCATCTTCTCCAAGCTAAATATGCAGAACTATTACAGTCTTCTCATATCCTCAAGGGAAAAAAAGTTTACCACTCAAGAGACCGGCTCTGTACGGTTGTGTAATGTTGCTGACAACCACCATCTTTCACAGCAGAATGCTCTGAACAGCCCTGCAGTACAAGCTCAGCTATCTAGTAATTATTTTAATATGCTTTTTGGACAGTTCTGGAAGGAATTAAGCAGAAGACCCTTAAAGTTATTTTACTGATACTGACAGAGGACAGAAATACTACCATGTAGGGCCAAATCTGAAACACTTGTAAGAAACATAGGTACTTCTCCAGAAAGTAGCTCCATGTACTAAAGAAGCTGCAACCAGCACAGGGAATGAATGACATACCTGTTTTAGTATCATCTTCACCACCTTCTTCTTCATTCTCAAACTTTATTTTCTTGCCCTGAAACTGTACTTTCCCTTTGTGTGCACCTTGAGGTATCTTTCCCCCTCTTCCTTTTCCTTTTATTTTGCGTCCTGTGGGGATATAAGATGTCAGGAACTTTGTATCATTTGTCTTCTCACTGGCAAGCTCTAAAGAATGCGTTACAATTAGTCCATGTTTAGTATGTATTCGCTATTTAAGAGTTACTTTCACACAATGCCACTTCTAGGACATTATAAATGCTTAAACCAATAAAAAGGAGGACCTTTTGTTTTCTGTTTCAGCAATTCTTGCTGATCTTCCAGTATTTTTTTCAGAGCTTCCTTTTCTGCATCTCCTTCTAGCACTTCCCATGTAACATCCTTGTTCCGAAGCTGTAAGTTTCCATTATGTGCTGCTTTGGCTTTTTCCAGAGCTTCTTTCGCAATATCCTTAAATAGGATAATTCCCTTAAAAAGAAGAGTGGCATTTGCATTGGAATCTTACTGCGAAAACATCCAGCTAGAATGATGAACAACGTATCCCATTAGGTACCTCAGCAAGTTCATTACTCTTGCATGATGTAAAATAGATCTAAGACTGAAGCAAAACTCTCAGACCCTTTATTCTCTGTCTCAGTTTTGAACTTACCAGTTGAGAAGGCTGGAACCTTTATCTGTTCTTTTGAAAAACTTTAAGGGAATAATTTAATTCTCTAAATATTCTGCAATTCCACGAGTGAACTAAATATTTTCTTATTTGATTATATAAGAGAACAAGCATTTAATCATCCAGTCTCAAACTTTAATACAGAGATCTTAATTCCTTGTCCAAGGTTCTACTGACCTCCTTCGCACCTCTGACAAAGTGTATCCATTTGATTTCTCCATGATCAGAAAACACATCATGGAGATCTTCTCTGCATGTTTGATCATCTAGATCACCAGAAAACTTCAGAAGACATCCTGTCTTTTCTTCCAGAGACTTCTAAATAAAATAAAAACCCCACACATTTTTGTGGAAGAGTCAAGGTTGAATATTTTCCCTCAATCCTAAGACTATTAAAACATGATAGTGATAAATAAGCAATTGAAGTCACCCCCCTTAGCACCGTCAGTAACCCAAGCATTCTTGCTGCGTAGTTTATTTATGCTGGTGTCCAAGTCTTGCATGGTGTGGTCACACACCCCTCTTTTTTTTTTTTTTTCTTTTTTTTTTAATTTTCTTTGCATACTGTGATATGTTTATGTGGAACTCAGGACTCCTTTCCCCTAAGAGAGTTATGCTTTTTAAATTCTACAAACAGTTTTCTGAAGGCTGACACCTCAGGTTGAAAATCTGTGTAATACTGGTTAAATCCTTACAGCATCCTTCAAATACCACAGAAGAATGATCACCTCAGTGGTGCATGTAGGATCACTTCTGAACAGGTACACATGCCTAACAGTTTAAATTCATAACAGCATTCTTTAAACAAAATTAGTCTCTTGAAGGTAAGATTAAATACGATGACAAAACAAAGTCTTACTGTAGGTTAGTTAGAAAAACTGAAGTGAAGACTTTCTAGACAATGCTCTATATTACAGAATTTCAAACTCTGAATATCCCATGTTAGCTTTACAAAATGTAGCTGCAGGAGCATGTTTGTCATGTGTGGACTGAAAATCCATACAGAAGCAAGCACTGCATAGTTGTCAAGCATAGAGATTTAAGAAACCCATACCATTTCAGCATCTGCTGCTTGTTTCTGTTTTTCTTCTTTTTCCCTGTAGAAAAGTTAAATTAGTTAAGAGTTGGTTCAGGTGTGGTCAGGTGAGCAAAACTGGGCACTTCAGCTGTAATGACTTACTGTTTAGCTCTTGCTTTAGCTTCCACTTTGTTTTGTCTCCTTTCTTCATTCTTCTTTGTACAATACTCCTCCCTTCAAAAGAGTATGAGCTAAGTTAATACCACTTGAGGTACTCCATTATACTTACTTTCTAAGAGAGCAGTAGCCAAGAAACAGCCGAGACTACCTTTGGGAACTGAGAAGCTGGTCTCCAAAAGGTACAGCTATCAATACCTGTTACAACAGTGTAGAAACTTAGACTTCTCAGGTCAAGCCAGGTTCTTGTCTAAATCCACCCTCAACCATTATTAGTTCATACATAAGTGAAGTGGACTTACTTGAAAAGTACTATCAGCTCTGTGTCTTTGTACTTTTGGTTTGGGATCTCCGTGAACTTCTTAGCAGATTCAACACTATCAAAAACTGCAAATATTGAGCCCTGTTAAACAGTAAAAGACATTCAGTTTTAGAGTAATCAAATAAAATGTTGCCCAGAGGGGATCTCTGCCCCAGGTCTAAGTGTTCCATCACAAGGGCTACCTTAAATGTTCTCTGCAATGTTCTCCTCATTTGAATGTTTTCAACCGGACCTTTATCCTCAAGCCATTCTTTGATATCATCAAGAGTTGCATCTAGTGGAAAGCCTTTCTGCAAGATAGCAACAAACTTCAATTATATGCAACAAACTAGCACCTGCTCAGAAATTATAACCTCTCTAGTATAAGTTAATTCAAGCTTTACTTAGATGGTTTTCAGTCAAAGTCATGCAGAACAGCACAGAGCAAAGGAAGCAGTTTACTTACAACATATACAGATCTGTTTTTAATTGCAGCCTTATACTGGTCATTTAATTCAGGAAGGGGTTTGTTTGGAGATCTTCTGATTTTAGTTTTGTCTTCATTTATTTCCATTAGACCAGTCTTGGATTTTCTTAGTGCTTCTACAATAACACTAAAATCTTTTGAAAGGCGACTTAACCTATTGAGTAAGCAGACACAGATTATTACAAATACACAGGCAAAGCTGAAGCCAAATATTAAAACAGCAACAGGAGTTGTAAATGCAGACCAGGGACGTCTGGTCCCAACTAGAGATAAGTAGCTGAAAGTTGCCTTTCCATCCAGATTAGCTGTTCTTTGTTTTACCTGTTGAATTTGATCATTACTTCTAAAGGCACCCAGCCATCATCTAGCTTGATCTGTTCCTTTAGGAACTTGTCTCTCGGTAGATTGTGATTGCCAAAATAGTACTGCAAAAAAGAAGGGAGAGTGGGACAGGGAGAGAGATTTGTCATTGAATGTTCAATCTCAAAAGCTCATTTTCATCTGACAATTTACTACAGTGGATTGAGACATACCACAATTCATGAATCTGAACAATTAGAAATTCTGAAATTATTACTTCCTGCTATAACATGATACTTTTGGAAAAGTTAGCTGCAACATGTAAACTAAAAAAACCCAGTGCATCATGCAGTAAGACTAATGAGGCAAAGGCAGACTGCAGTTTTATTTCGGAAAGGCACAAAGTTTGTTCTGCTAACATAATCATCGATCAACCTGATCAAGCTCTACAGTCAAATTTATCACCAACAGATTCAGGTTTTAGTCCTTATTTAAGGAATGTAGAAACAAGGATCTTGTATTTGCCACACTGAGAAATCATACATAGACTAGAGAGTTTCTAGGTCTTATTCAGGAAAATACTGTAAGATTAAAAAATTATTTTAATTTACAATGTTCTCATTTTGATCACGTCCACCATGGGAAGAGCAGTGTCATGTAGTTAACAAATTGTTCAGTTCAGTACCAGATAGACAAGTTAATCAGATTCTTTTATTTACTAGCAATCATCTAACTAGGGTCAAATACTCAAAGCCGTAGGGTAAGTCAGAGCCTTTCCACAAATATCATTGTGCTTTAAAAGGTCAGTGCAGGTTTTACAATACCTCTCCCTCTAGTATACCTCAAACTCACATTACCACAAGTCTAGCTTTATCAGCTATTTTTCCTCAATCTCTGGGCTGGGTTGGTTGGTTTGGGTTTTTTTTATCAATAATGACTACAGCTCCATATGCTAAAGGGGATTCACAGCTGTATTTTTGTCCTTCAGAAAAGCAGGTTTGTTCTAGATGTCATTTTAAGTGATGTGCTCAGTTTTCCATTGTAGGGTAACCCCGCAAGCTTCTAGAGCTAGAAATACTTAATCTAAAGTAGGCACATAAGTTTAGTTGTAATTTGTAGCAATGAATTACAAAACAGAAAATCATAATTGCGAGTTATGCATGTGCTAGTATTTTGACCAACACAGATTCCCAAGTAGGAGGATTCCCCCCCCAAATTAAGTCATATAGAATTAAAATCCATCTTCGTATATGCATAGATAGAATAACCCCAGTGAACATAGTAATAAATTGTTTAATGACACATTCACTTGCTATAGCACCTAAACGGCTAGCAAGTGAAATCTTTTGTGTTTTTAAATGGTGGTCTTACAGGCAACTCTAGAGAAGTATAACTTCCAACTTAAGACTACAGCTATGAATTATCTTAAGGTATTAAATATCTGTCATATATCTGCGACAGACTTTTTTTAAAAGAACTGAACATTCAAGTCTTAACTCCCTATGGAGTAACTTCCCATTAGCCAAGTCCCTGCCAATGAATGTCTCCAAAACTACATCTCAGCCCAGATCCCAAACTATAAATTGAACTCACCTCAATTTGCTGACAGATTTTGCTTTCCAAAATAGACATGTTTTCACCATCTCCATTTTCAGCCATTTTCACCAGCTGTGCTGAAGAGAATATAGAGCAAAGGCACTAAGTATTAAATAGTACTTTCTACAGACTTGTAATTCGTATAGTGTGCATTTCGCTGCAGCCTCATCTGAACAAGGTAACAGACAAGTGTTTTTGCCAGACGTTTATGCTTGTGAGCCAACTTTAACATGACTGCAGAATTCCAAGGGGAAACTATGAAACAACTGGGAAAAAAAAAAAAAGTAAATCCTTTGGTTATTAAGGCAGCATTTGGCATTCCACGTTCAAGATAAGTAAAAAAATGCTGGCATTTTACAGCATTATTTGTTTTTTACCTTTTCCTAGGCACAGATCTTGAGTTGGTACCTAACAGCAACAAACCTGAGAGCCAACAACACTTGTTCTTGAAGTCAAATCCAACCTCTCATCACTAGGCAAAACATCAATGACAAAAATGGTTTACTATTCCTAAATAGGTATAATTGGAAACTCTTCTGAATTTTCTGCCTCCTAATTAATCTTTGAGAGTTCAAGGAACTTACTGGAGGAAGGAATTAAAACATCTCCATTTACTAGTACATCCTAAAGATGTCTAGTTCTCTCCTTTACAAACTGCAGTTCTGCCTGAATACTGAATCAGGCATCTTTGGTAAGAGGTAAGATGTTTTAACTTGAAACTAACTTTTTCACTTAACTGGCATTAAGCATATAATCCCAGTACAGTAGAGCATGAAGAGCTGTCTCTGAAGAATAGCCACGAGCAGGTTCAAAGCTTATGGGTAAGTATTAGAGACTGAGGCAACAAAGAGAACCGTGTGGCTGGTGTCTACAACAGGCCGCCTGACCAAGGGGAGCCTATGGATGAAGTCTTCTTACTCCAGCTACAGGAGGCTTTGTGCTCACAAGCTTGCAGGCTCTTGTCCTGCTGGGGGACTTCAGCCACCCCAACAGCCTCTGGAAAAGTAGCACAGCGAGCTGTAGGCAATCCAGGAGATCCTGGAGTAAATGGAGGATAACTTCTGAAGCCAGCTAACAGACAGCCCTACCAGAGGGGATGCCATATTGGACCTGGTGGTGAAGATGGGTTTGCAGTCATGTCTTGCATGGTTTATTGGAAGATTTAACCATACACATTCGGCTCTTCTGCCACTCGCAGGACAGTAACAACTCTCAGGGCACCAAGATAACTGACAATACAGAAGCAGAGAAAACTCCTCTGAGATTTCCTTGTCACAGGAAATTACATTCTTCATCAGAACACTCGCCTGGCAGCCCCATCTTCTTATTTTAGTAGTTTGATTCACCAATCATTGTTCAGCCTACTGCACTCTGCAGTATTCCCATTTCCTCCTCTTCCTGATCTCAAGGCTACGTCACATCCCTTTGACTTGCTTGTAGTTCTTTTTAATCTAGGCACTTACAGCCTTAAAATTTGCATCCTGGTCTCCACTACCAGACTTGCATGTGGACCTAAATTGTAACAGCTTTAAAGCATGATTTCAGTGAGTGTTAGTTGACAGCTATGCTCAGAGCGTGATCTGTTTTTCTGTAAAGCACTTTACAAAAATCCAGGCCATAGCATACAAGCTGACAGTTGCTGTTACTTCAGAAATGTCTCACATTAGCCACCCTGACTACAGGAGACTGACTTAGTTCACCACCACATTCAGATGCTGGCAACTACTCCCCTGCAATGTTGTCCCCAACCCCTGACTTGTGAGAGAAATCAGTGTTCTATTTTACCTTATACCTAAAATTTGGTGTAATTTAATAGCAGCCTATGGAAGTTTCAGCTTTTTCCATTGGATCAACTAATTGACAACACTCCTTGTGTGCTACTGTAACACCCCATCCAACAGAAAGTTAACCCCCACTGAAGAAAGGGAAGGACAGTGACTTGATTTAGCTTGTAGAAGGCACTAGTGATGGAGCTGTTAGGGCAAGGAGCGCAAAAGGACAAAAATAATCAAAAAAACCTTTCTTTGACAGCAAGCAGTTGTAGTGGGTTAGATTTGACATCAAACTATATCCTCAGAGTGGGAAAAAAAAAAGTACTGAATGGCAGCTACGCAAATCTTCGTATTCTCAAGCCTTAGTTTGGTGATTTAACTCACACTGCAAAGCCTCTTCTCCAGGTGTGGCAGATTTTTTTTTTTAGGCACTGGCAACATATTTTTTTCACAATACAGCTCAATTAATGTTTAAGATGACATACTAAGAGATGTGAAAACTTCTGCTGTCTTGCATATTCTGAGGCGAAAAATTAATTTATGTTTTATTAATGTATCCCATTTTAACAAAAATGCATTAACAACATGTTCTTGAACTCCAGAACAAAGACAATCTGCTGGTGCACAGTGAAATACAGATTGAGGCAGACAGAGGAATCTTCCCTCACCACTTTCCATTTGGTCAGCCGGTCTCAAGTACGCCGTTAAGAGTGAGCTGAGCGGAGACAGCTGCTTTGCACTCTTCTGTAGTGTGGAATACAGACCAGCCTCCAACTAGGCTGGATCTGCCCTCTCCTTCAGTGGTCTTTGCCGTTTTACCTGTCATACTGAACAGTGCATGAACTTCGTGGAGCAAGTTTTCCCTTAATACAAGCTGTTGTTAAAATAAAATTTGGGGCCTTTTGGCTGCACGCTGCTGAATCACCAGCAGTTCTACCCCAGTTAATGAGGTGAGGATTACACAGAGGCAGCACGTCTGAGAGAGCAGAGTTACAAGAGAATCTGTTCATGAAGCTGTTGACTTTGCTTTGGTTTTATCATTTAGAGAGAATGCCTCCTCAATCTGTCCAGAGTAGCCTGGCTCTTCTAGCCTCACCAAAAAAACACACCAGTCTGAAATATGCAGGACAGCCTTCTTTTACCACTGCATTCCAAATAAGCCATTAAGAAATGCCAAGATAATAGTGCTGTGAAGCATAATAGAAGAACATACACTTTTGTCTTCACCTAGCTTCTGCCACCTAAACTCCTTCAGCCTTCTTATACCCTTTCCTGCACTTCCCCAGCTCTCACAGTGCACCACTCTCCCAGTCTGCCCCACTCCGGGTACCAAGATATCCAGAACCAGCAACTCCCTTTAAGGCTCAGCTCCACTGCTAAGAAGAGATGAAAAACAAAGTCTATTTCCTTAGCAGTGTTTTCAAGGTAAAAACCAAACTGTACAGAAATGTAAAACAACACAAGACCTGAGACAAGTCCTTCAGATTAAGTCTTACACTTGGAAAAGTTTTTCTAAAAAGCCCCCGTTCAGCTGCAAGTAACAACCTGAAGGCAAGACTAAGAAAGACTCAAGCTTGCCATACGTGGAATTCAGTTCAGATGCTGATCAGGCTCTAACCTATTTAGAATAAAAGCAGAAGCAGCTTTCTAATTTAAGAGAAATTTTAGTCTTGCTGCACATGCTCAATTCAGACTCTCTAGCTCAGTCATTTGGCACAAGCTAGTCTTGTAGATCTAACTTCCAGATCGATAGTTTTCAGTTGCGGTGCAGCAATGAAGACTGATAGAGGTGGCACCACCGATGAACGCTCACAGTCTGAACAGCATGCAAAATCCTACATGAGATTTTATTCTAAGTGCTTTCTTAGTAGAACACACTGACTTGTTCCTTCTGCGTGCCAACAGTCTGTATCAGTACCACTCAAAATGAAAACAAGTTAAAATAATACAAGTAGGCACGAGATTTAAATTACAAATGGAAAGTGACAGTCAAGCCCTTTAAGTAGAACAATGTGATCCTGTGCTATATTAGCTAGATCATCCCAAAAGAACTCTCAAGGGGATTTTTATCCTATCAGTAATTTAGTTTCAGGGTCTGGACAAAGCCTAGTTGCAGGCTAACTGCTTTTACCATTACTGTAACAGAGTGGAAGGCTCTATTTAAAAAAAAAGTTTCCTCAGTAAAGTAACATGGAGCTGTTACTCATGCAGTGTGTTGTGCTGGAACCCGTGTGTAGGAGACCTGACCCTTCTGACCAGATTCTTAAAATACAGAATTTTATTTAAGGTCAGGATTAACTGTCACCACTCATCACAGCTGGTCCTCGAGTAGAATCTGCACAATATAAGAAGAAATTTTGTCCAAGAATTATTTAAACGATAGAAACGCGGCTCCTGAACCTTACGTCTATGCTGGGAGACCATCAGTTGGTCCTCAGACACTTCTGTACCACTATGGCGACAACACAGCCCTCCTCGGACAACCGCCCAGCGGACCCCTCAGCCTGGCTGCAGCCGAGCGCTGCCCTCAGCCCGCCCGACCCCGCTCCGGGCTGCTCCCGCGGGGCCGCGCCGGGCC